CCTGGCACCCTCCATGGGTCAGTTGTGTTGGGTTACTTGGCATTTAAATGTTTCCACCTCTCTGGGCAGATGTGCTGCTGGCTTGCTGAGGTCTTGGTGGGCAGCAGGACAGAGGCTGAACCTCCTCCATGTGCCAGGTTGTACAAGGAGGGACGTTTCCACAGGGCACTGGCTCCCGAGCTCCTCTCCCCTTCCCTGACAGAGCATCATCTGCCCTGCCCGGCTCAGAAAATCCCTGCTCTCACAGCAGAAAAAGGAAAGGGGGAAAAAATAGACACATCTGGCCCCAAACCATCTCTGGGGCTCTCGGCTTTAGCAAGCTCTGCTGCATATGGACTGATCCATCTGCTGTGCAGCTCCCTGGCCCCGTCTGGGGCTGGGCTGCCCTGAGGCTCGACAGGATGAGCTTGTCTGTACTGCCTGAGCATTTCATCTGCCCAGTGACCTTTACCAGTAACGGGCTGTACCGTCTGGATTTCCATCACACAGCCTCCAAAGAGAAGCATGACAATACCTGAGATACGTCTGTATTGTTAGAGCAGGGTCAGTGAGCTCCAGAGGGGTTTGGTGAAGGCATTCCTTGCCTTCTTTCCTTCCTAATCCACCACTTTCCTGCCAATCTGATCTGGCTTGGAAGCTGCTGCAGTGGGATCACAGAGTCCTGACTATATATATATGTATTTATAAATATATATACATATTTTAAAGAAATATAGATATGGCTTGGGATAAAGTCACAGGTTTGCAGGGGACTGTGCCTTAGAATATCACAGCTTGGTTCCCAGTTGGAATGAATCTCAGTCAGTATTCAGGGAGAAGGCTGGATAGAGCAAGAACTTCCTTCTTGCTGACCTCCAGGAATGGAGAAGTGGCCCTGGGCTCCCTCTCTCCCTCCTCCTATGGCATCCACCCATCCCCATTCTGACACACTGCTCAGATGATACATCCACGCCCCGCAGCACTGCTTCACTTGATGGGATAAATGCTTAGTGACAGCACCAAAGAGCCATCCTGCCCCTCGGAAGCAGGATGCAGAGCCAGCTGGGGATGGCTGAGGACTGGCACCAATGTCACAGAGACAGCAGGCGAAGAGAAGACCAGGGCTTTCTCTTCTCCCAGTTTGGATACCTATTTCAGAGAGCCACGACCACAGCAGAACCAGTTACTGGCTGGTACTTCAAACTGAGCACAAACACGAATTTTCCATGCAAGGGTTACCCAAGCAGACACCTCCCAACAGCAAAGGCACATGGCTGGACTGCAGATAACTGAACACAGTGGTGATCTGGCTCTAAACACAACAGCTTTGGGCAGGTGACCATGTTCCATCCCCACCGCAGTGAGAAGGTGCCTGGATCTGCAAAGACCATCAGTTTAACGAGATCAATCTGTTTAGTTTAATAAATAGGAGGTGAAGAAATGACTTGAGCACTATCCAAAATATTGAAAGGCGGAAAAGATGTTGGCTAAAAGAGCTGTTGAGCTGGAGAGACAAGGGTATGCAGTCGCAATGAAGGGAAGAGTCCAACTAAAAGCGCTTGTGAGAAGCCCTGCCACTGCAGTAATACAGAAATGGCTCTGACAAGTTCACCCTCGCTTGTAACTGTACATCAGATTGAGTGTTTGGGTTTTTTCCCTTAGCAAATTGAACAGGAATAAATTAAGGGATGTGCTACAGCCTGTATTTTGCCGTGGGTTAGATCGATGATCCAAATGTTCTTTGCTGGCTTTGCAGTCAATGAATCACTAAATTTGGATCCACATCCTCACTGGATGGATCAGAACCAGAAACCGAGGTACTGCTGCCCCCAGGGTTTAATGGAGTTTATGTTTGGTTCTGAAGCAGACCTGGGATTTTTACTGAAAGTTTTATATCTGCTTTCCCCCTCAAAGGCCAATTGCAAGGTTCAAATAACTTTCTAAGCATCTCAGTTTTCATTAAATCCTTGTGATTTTTCAAAGTAAAGCTTGAATGGTTCTAAAAGTTTCAACACTGGCAGATAAATAAAATGAACCTTAAAACTGAGGGGTTTCCTGAATAATGATTTTCTCCATTTGGCCAGGGGGTGTGGACTTTCTCCCTGAGTCTTGCACAGCCAGGGCTGGTGATGCTGAGACAGACTTCCTGAAAGCATATTCTGGCAGAGGGATTTTTACAATGGGCACAGATATCTGGCTTCTTCTATCTTTTCAGTAACAGGCTCTGAGTGTGTTTCTCTGGCTGTTTGGCATTTGCTGGAAAGGATTACGACGAGAAGGGGAAATCAATAAATTCCATCACAGATGACAAACACGGAGGGAAAACATTGCTCGGGGTTGCTAATCAACATCTGCAGTGGGGATGGATGGAGCATCCCAGGGTCAGACCCCCTCACCCGAAATGCTCCCACATGTGTTGGCAAAGCTCCTGCCGAGAGCTCCTCCTCCATCTGCAGTGGTGCTTTGCCAGGTTCCAGGTCCCACTTCAGCAGTCTCCTGTCTCCTCGCCTTGGAAGCCTGATTGCAAATCCTAAACAAGTGCTCTATGATGGGCTGGCTCCCTGCCCAGAGACTGCATCAGAAATTCTGCTTGATGTATCAAACCCTCAGCAAGCAGGGGGGAGGGAGGAGAGCCAGAGGGGGCAAGGAAGAGGTACCACGGACAACCCCGACTTCCCTCCTTCCCTCTTCTCAGGAGAGCAGGGAAGCACCAGGAGGTTCCCTTCCCTTTGACCTGTCCATCTCCAGGAGGGCTTTTCACCACTTCCTGATGGATTTGAACCACAGGAAACCAGCAGTGAGAGGGACCAAGGAGATGCCAGATGCAGCAGTCGTGCCATGCCCTTCCTGTGTACACAAGACCCCACTTCTCCTGGGACCTGTCGAGGTTCACCAGCCCCACACTTCCCAGCCAGGCTCTTTCCTCCACCAGCAGGGCAGGTATTACAGCAGCAGCTACTCAGATACTTGGAGCTTCTGACTGCAATCTTAAATATCAGCCCAAAGCCACTCTCACAGCAGAGATCTGCTCTGTGGGGTGACACAAGTCCTGCTGTGCAAGCTCTGACAAGAGAAGCTGAGGGCACCTTGGCCAGTCCCACCAGTCTGTGCCATCTATTCAGAGGAAGCAGTGGAGATCTTTGGAGGCTGTCAGATCTATGGAACTAGTTTTTCACACCATTTGACTATTTAATTTCATGGCAGGCAGAGAAGAGGGGTGGGTGTAGTGCATCTAGGGAAGGAAGCAAGACTTCAGAAACCCACTAAATTGTTCCCAGACACCACATTTGAGCTCAGGAGACCTGGAGAGGCAGGCAGTGGTGCAGGGCTCTGCCAGCCACCGCTCGATACTCAAAGTTCCAGCACAACCCCAAGGTGGCTTTGCATTTGGCCTCCTCACATGGCAACAGAAGGGTGAGAAAACCTTCCTTGTTTTTAAACCAAAGAGGGCATCAGCTCTTTATAAGGATCTCAGATATTTTGGAGTCAAAGAGGTCAGTTTTCAGGCTCCAACACCATCAAAGGCTCTTGGGTCAAGAGACATCTGGAAACTGTGGTGGTTGTTGTTAGTCACCTACTATTTCATCCTCGTGCCCTTTTAAATGGATCTTCTCTCAGCGAGGGGTTGACCCCGCGCTCTGAGGAGCCCCTGGAAGAACTGCTGACGCTGGCGGGCTCTGCATCACGCTGGTGCTATTCTGGCTCCTTCCCTGCCATGGCCTCCCCCCATTAGATGTCACAGCATTTGGAGGACAGTCTCCTCCAAAGGCAGAGGGGAGAAAAGGCAGCTACCACTGTGCTTTTCAAGACAGTTCCGTGCAATCTTCACCCTCTCTGGAGGATGAACTTGTGAAAAGAAAAACAACCTGAGGCCACGTTGCAGAGCCTGTATCATGTCTCAGTCAGCTCCTGTGGACAGGACGTCCCTTTCCTGTGGTGCCTGTGAAATAAAGTGTCCCTACGTCGCCTCAAAACGCTCCCTGAGAAGAAGTGGTCTAAATATAATGTTTTTAGTTTCTCTTACCAAACAAAAGAGGGATCGTTGGGTTTTTTGGGGAGGGTGAAACACCAGGGTGGATCACAGCCAGATGAGAGGGTAATTAGTCACAAGGAAGAATAGGATAACTGGGCCCTGTGCCAAAGGCAGAAGAGCAAGAAGAGCAAGGTCCTCAGGTAGACATGGCCAGGGCAGGTTGGGGCCAGGATCCAAGGCAAGTCATGCCTAGAGCTCAGCCTGGTCACTGGTGGGACATCAGTCCACACGGATGGGTGGGATGGGCCCTGCTCAGCAGAGAAGCCAAACCCTTTAACACATCCCAACATTTAGAAACAGGGACACCGACCACCGTGCAAGGAAGAACTAGCAGGAGGGCCAGAGGGATCCCAGCCTGCCTACACGGCCTCTGGGTCAAATTAGCACATGGAAACGGGGACAGCAGCCAGATAGGTACTCAGGGGAAGGAGGATGAAAGAACAAACTGCAGTAGCGAAGGAAACAGGACTCCATTACACAGCAGCTGAGACGTGGAGCCAAGGTCTGGTCAAGAAAGTGGTAAGGGGATGGAAGTCTTTTTTTTTTTCCTCAAGAATATCCTCAGGAATTGATCCAAATATCAAAGACTAAAATCTGCATCTTTTCCTTACATACCAAACCACCAACGCAGATGACCACAGACTAAATAAAATACATCATTGCTGGTATCCACCTGCCCATCACAGATACTCCCCCTCAATCTGACTGGACAACCCTGCCCCACACAGGACCAGGGACCTGCCTCTACTCCATGGGTGTCACTAGCTACCAGGATTACTCCATCACTCTTAGACAACTTCTTGCTACATCTATCACCTACAGTACCTGGGAATGAGATGACCAAAACGTGCAACATTAACCCTAAGGGTCAGTCCTTGCCGCCCGACCACATCGGATTCTGGGAGCAGCCAGAGGAGGAGTCCCAGTGCCACTGTCCCTTGTGACTAGGGTTGGGCTTTCCCAGCAGGGAGGGAGGTTTGCTACTCACCTAGCAGCAGGTTCATGAGGACCTCCTGGCCCGCCAGCGTGCTGCTCTTCACCAGGCAGATGAGTGTACCCGCAATCCAGGGGATCCCGTGCCCCGTTATCCCCAGAAGGTTGATCATGGAGCGGGCACCACCCCAGGAGGAGGCTCTGTTGGCACACACTCCCAGCCTCTTGGACATGCAGATATCGATGGCCAGCAGCGAGTTGAAGGCGATTCCCTTGAAGGAGGGGTTGAGCTGCATGCAATCCTCCTCGGGAAGCTGCTGCGACTGCCTCCGCTCCTTGGGGTTGGTGTTCTGGGCACCGGCTGCCCCGGCCTGGCCGCTCTGCTTTCTTCCCGAGCTCCTGCTCTCCTGGTTCCCCTTCAAGGGCTGATTCAGGGAGAGGAACTCAGCCCTGTTGAGGACATTGTTCCTGTCCCTTGCCCTGGACCGTGGCTGGGATGATGGCATTGCAGTCTCTCTTTAACGCAACCTGCTTTGCGAATAGCGGGAAGGAGAGAAATCCCTCTTCTCCCTGCAGAAAGCTTCCCCCACTCCCACCCTCACAAGCTGTGAATTTGGGAAGCTACAAAGGTTCCCCTCTGTTGCAGTTGCCCCCAGCACAGACTGCAGCTGTTAAATATAGAGTAAGGAATGCACATGGCTGTTTACTTCATGGGCCTAGCAAGCTTGGAAGGAAAATTAATGCCAGGCTTGGCAGCCACTCCAGTGCCAGGGAAAAAGGTTAAACAGCCAATAGATTGGAAGAAGAGGAGGGAAAAACGTTGTGCCAAAGGTTGGTTGCTTCTGGCCTGGTCTATTTAAATCTTCCAATTGCTTATTCCCCTGGGCTGCAAGGGAAACTGGGAAATGTAGTTTTTTGTGCTGCAATTCACATTTCAATATCAGAGTCAGAGCTGGAGGCGATGACAGCATCCCCCTCCCCACAGCAGCCGGTGTTGCTCCCACGGGGGGCTGTGCTGCCTGCCTTTGCAACACCAAGGCTGAGTATTGCCTGGGGGCTTCCCCCCAAGGAGCTGTCCCCAGAATCTTCTTGATTAGTCTGTTCTGCAACATCTCCCCCCCCCCCCCAGGCTAGGGCACCCCAAACACCACCCTCCTCCCCCTAGCACAGATACCTTTCAAGCCCCACTAGCCCCATCCTCCCTCCCCGCTCGGGGTGAGCCCCTGCAGCGACTTCATCACTCACCCTGTTCCCGGACGAAGGAGAAGCATCACCTGCCTCCTGATTACAGGAGACACAGCGCCGCTAATGAATTCCCATCCTCCTGCCCCCGGCGCTGCGCGTGGCCTCGTTACCGCACGTGTCCCTGCCGTGTCACCCAGCACCGCGCAGCCTGTGCCCAGAGCAGGTGACAGGCAGTGCCCGTGTCCCTCAGCTGCAGGTGTGATCAGCAGCACAGGTACCAGCCCCAGCAGCACGGGCAGCGCGGGACAGGGAGGAGGAAAGCTCATGCCAGGCCCTGGGGAGTCCTCCAGCAGAGGACAGGGAATACCTGCTGTCCCTCCTGCCACGGCACATTGTGCTCCATCACACTGCATGGCTGCTGTCAGCCTCCTGACTCCCTGCTCCCCACCTCAGCTGGGGAGAACCCCTCTGAGACATCAAGGGATGGTCCTCGTGGGTGCCTTCCAACTCAGAATGTTCTGTGATTCTGTGATCTCCCACCTGCCGGTCCCAGCACTGATCAGCCCCTGGGAACATCCCATCGGTGCTTGCAGCTCCAATTTACAGATCTGAATGATCTTTCTACAGCCCCTGAACTGCAGTTGCACGGATCTAAGCTGGGAGAAGCCATCCAAAGGATGACAGCCCATGGCAGCAACCACTTGAGCCAGGACCACCCTGGCATCAACCCAGTTACCTTCCCTGGGCAATGGGCTGTCGCAGCTCCACACCACTCACATGCTCCTTGAACGGGATTATTCCTATGCAAATAGGCTGGAAGTCCCCTGTGGATAGACAATTGGAGAATATGAATATTACATTGAGGAGTAGAACAGCCAGTCTCGTGGTGCCTGCTACATTTGACTACACAAAAGTCCAGTTACAGAGGTCAGTGTTTGTACAGGTAATCCTGGGAACTGGACACTCAGGCATCTCAAAGTCTAGTCCAAAATGCACTTGAGAGCTTAACTGTTAAAGGAAAGGTGGTTCTTGGCATCTGAAAATAATAAAAAAAATTTTGCATTTTCTTCACACTTTTTACCCACAGTTCTCAAAATCCTCTCAGTGAATTGTGCACCCAGGCTGTGCCCATCTGACTAACCGACTGGCCAGAGGCAACAGCAATGTTTGGACAAGAAAGTGCTTGAGGTCCTGAGGAGCCCTCACTTCTGGGTTTTGTTCATATTTTCCTCCCTCAAAGGAAAATAACATACATCAATTTATTTCTCAATCATACCCTCCAGCAACCTACCCCTAGTCAAGGGAGGTGATGCTGCCCCTCTACTCTGCCCTGGTGAGACCTTACCTGGAGCACTGTGTCCAGCTCTGGGGTCTCCAGCATAGGAAAGACATAGACCTGTTGGAATGAGTCCATGAAAGGCCATGGAAATGCTCTGAGGGTTGGAGCCCCTCTGCTATGGAGAGCTTAGCCCAAACCCTTCTGTGATTCTATGATCCCAGCTGGAGGAAGAACTCATCCCCTCCTCAGGCACCCACACCCAGCCCATAAAACACAACCCTGCTCAGCTCAGGTACCACATGGGGCTGTGGCAGCCCTGGAGCTTGCACAGAAGGTGCCACAACACCAACACCCCCCAGCTCCCGTCCGATCACCGGCTGTGCAGCCGCATTCTCACACTATCGGGGCAGTCAGCACCCTGTCCCTATCTGCCTGCCCTCATCCCACTGCCCAGCTCCCAGGCATGTGGAAAATCTCAGTCTACCTGACACCAGCCGAGGAGATAAATGTCATCATCACTGCTTTCACTTGCCTGTAGCCATCACCTCCCTGGATGGCCTCCCAGATTCTCCTGCTCCTTGCAGGGCTGCTGCAGCGTGGGGCTCTTTGCAAACATCAGTGGGCAGAGGGTTAAAGGTGCTGGCAGCCAGGAGGCTGCAGAAATAGGGAGACTCCTGCCCAGTCTGGTGCTGGGGATGCTGAGCTACAACCAAGCATGTTCCTTGGGAGCTGTCATGGGTTAAAAAATACCTTGAAAGCTTTGAGAGTGAATTTAATCTGGTGCCTGTCTCTTCTGCTGACACTGATATGAGGGAGCTTCTCTGCCCGAGCCGCCCTGTGAGACTCCAACCTCACGGCCCAGCACGAGTCCCTGGTGGGAAGGGCACAGGGAAGGAAGGGCAGTGCGTGATGGCCCCAGTGCCAGCAAACCCCTGTCAAAAGTAGAGTGGGAAAGGAAAGCTGTTTGGTCTCTCCTGCAGCCAGGTGGGCTGTCACTGCCTGTCCCAGCCAAAGAAAATGAGCTTGGGAAGGAAACGTCCCTGACCCTGCTGGGGCCACAACAAGCCCCATCCTGCTGCGCTGCTCGCAAAACAGCCACAAACCCAGGGGTTTATAAATATCCCTGCTAAACCTGTAGACAGGCTCCCTGCTCTGGTGGGGCTATTCCAGGCCTGACACATGATCCACGGGGGTCATCAAGCACCTGGGAGAGTGCCCAGACGGACAAATCCAGCATGCTCCCTTCACCCATGCCCTGGCTGTGCTCCTCGCCATCCTGCCCACCCTCCCTGGCCCAGGGGCTGGGGGCTGCTGGCCACAATGCCCTGCACAGCTGTGGCCACACACAGTGTCAGTGGCCAGCAGGGCCATGCAAACCACGCTGGAATGTGGGTGGGGCAAGAGTGACAGCTCCAACCCCTTTCTCTGCAGTTCACTGGCAGCATTGGTGAATCTCAGCCACTGGCAGCAACTGGCCAAGAAGCAACACTTGCAACCAAAGTGCTTCGAGCAAAACCAGTGTTCCTGGGTGGGATATTCTTCTAGGGACAAAAAGAAAAGCTTGGTCAAAATAAAATATAATACCCTGCAGTATTTACTGCACACGCAGTGGTGTGTCAGCAGTGCCAGAATGGCCTCTGGTGGGCGGCTTTTATTGCCACTACTCAGACAGTGCAGGGAGACCCTGTCCTTTAATAAACCCAGAAAACATGCTGGAAGGACGTGGAGACACTGTGCAGGCCATGATGGTGGGGGGAACCCCCACAGGAACGGAGCATGGCTGTGCTACAGTGAGACATGGACGGGTGCATCAAATGGGCAGCAGAAGGAAACACAACTCACAGCATCACCAGACACTCCTAATTTTTACTTACCACAGCTTGACCTCGCATCTCCAGCAATCCCATCAGGGAGCACCACGCGCTCGGGCACAGGAACCCTTCTGCCCATGGCTTAATGCAGCCACTCTGGGGTGGGGTGTGCTAATGCCTTAATCACTCACAGCAGCCTGATGGAGACAGGCAAGACCAAAACCCAACGAAAACTCCAGCTGAAGATGAAAAGCTGATTTAATTAGAATGAGATAATGCAATTTCCTAGTTGACCAGAACACCAGAGACAGCCAAGTTGAAGCAAGACCTGGCTGAAGCTTGAGTGAAACTAAAGTCGCAGAATATGCAGTTTCACCAGATCCATGATGCTCTGAGAAACTGTGACAAGCTTGTTTGAAAAGTGTGAAAGAGTCTTGGAGATGTCAAAGGATTTCAGCACCTTCTGGAGGCTGCTGGATATTTCATTCGAAAGATGCTAATTTCATTCTTTCTTGTACTACACAGTAGTAAGTTGCTCGTAGCTTGAGCAGGTTCTTAGTGTTTCTCTCTGTCACAGGGCTAGTGACTGTAATTGTGCCCTTCACAGAGACTGTGAAGTTTAAAATAAATACTTCCCCAGTGCTTTGAGAAGCGCGTGCGGAAGAAAAACACAACAATATACTGTGTTTTTTTCCACCTGCTGTGGGTGGAAAGGAGCAAATTTGCCTCCCCTCATTCTGTGACATTCACTTGTCAGGATCACCCAGTAGCTCCAGTCTCTCCTACCTGCCGAGGGCTAATCCAGCCTACTGAGACTGCGGGGTGGGAAGAGCTAAAAGACATTTACTCATGTCTGTCCTGCTGTACTGCACCACAAGCAGCACCAGCAAAGCAATTTTTACCCCTCTGTTCCCCAAGTTTCCTCTTTAGAAACAAGCGACAGAGGACACTCTCACCCAACATTCAATGCCCACCAGTTATTACCAAAAAAGGAGAGCCATATTCCATGAAAAGCTGGATGCATGCACCTCACCTGGTGTTCAGATCCTCAGATGGCCAGCAGGACCAGCCAGCAGTGGTGCTCCCAAAACCATCTGTAATAGAAGTTTACAACTTTCCACAGGCTGCCGCTGCCTCAGATTCTTCTTCCTCCCTGTTCCAGCTACTCCTTAGTCCCGCTGCTGCTATGGAGAGCATTGCATTTCTCACTGCTGGAACCACAGCCCACCCAGCCTAGGGGCTACAGGTTCTGCAAATAAGGAGACCATCGCCTTTGGTGCCCTTGGGTTGGTACCAAATTTACCTGCAAATCTTCAGCCAGCAGAGGAAAATCTTAATCTGAAAACCCAAGAAAAAATATACTCTGTGTCCAAATTAGAAAAAAATAATAATAAAGGGGGGCGGGGGGGAAGAGAAAGGCGTTTCTAAAAGAAAACAAAAAAACTACATTACCCACAATTCACGGACATGTGGGAGGAAATGCTCCTTTTTTTTTTTTTTGCAAAGGAGGTTTAGCCTTCAACAGCTGCAGTTTAAAAGCGAAATACAGGGGGAGGGATGGCACTGGGCGAAGGAGGGCGGACAGGGCGGCGGGGGGCGCGGGGGGGCCCCGGACCCGCAGCCGGTGCCGCTGGGGCCGGCGGAGCCAAGGGGATGCGGCGGACCCTGCCCGGGCAGCCGGGGCGGCATCGTTCGGGCACGCCCGGGGGCACCGAGGGGCTGCGAGCGAGTTCCTGCAAAGTTTGACCCCGTTGCCTCCCTGATGCTGCGGCGGCGAGCGGAGCGGGAGCCCCCCCGCAACCCCCCGCTCCACCGGCGAGGCTGAGACCCGCGGCCGGCGCCGTCCCCGGGTGCGCGAATGTATTGCGGGAGAGGAAGCCTGCGGCAGCCGGGAGGTGGAGGCACCGATCCTGCTCCGCTCACCTCCCCGGGCAGCTAAAAGCAAAAGAGACGAAGGGGAGAAAAAAAAACCCAAAAAACAGAACCAACCAAAACCAAACCACCCAGCGAAAGAGAAGGAGCCTCCCCCCCCCCCCCCCCCCGCCCCGCGCCGCCGCTCGCCCCCGCAGCGCAGGGAGCCGGGGCTCGGCGGCGCGGCCGGGGCTCGGCGCTGCTCCCCGGGATGCTGTGACGCCCTGCGGGGCCCACGCGTGTGCGGGGCAGCCCCGCCGCCCGCCCATGAGCCCCGCCGGCTGAGCCACCGCCGGCGCGCCCGGGAGCAGCAGCGGGAGGAGGAGGAGGAAGGTCGGACACCCCTGCGGAGAGCCGCTCGCCGAGGAGGAGCAGGAGGAGGAGGAGGAAGGGGAGCGGCGGGGCCGGCGCCCCCCGGGCCGGTGCGTGTCGGGGGATGTCACGGGCGGCGGTTCCGCGGCGCTGAGCGGGCGCGGAGCGGCGCGGCCCCGGCGGGCGCGGGGGAGGCTCCTCGCCGCCTGCCCCGCAGCGCTCCCGGAGCCGCCGGCCCCACCGGCACCGCGCTGCTGCCCTGCCCGCACGGCTATTTCTAAGAGAGAGAGAGAGAAAAAAAAAATTAATCCCCAAAGCCCTGACATCGCTGGCGGAGGAGCCTCCAAATTGGGAGATTTGGCGACTTTTTGCGTTTTTCCAGCCGTCGTTTCTTTTCTGTTATTATTGTAATTCTGTGCGAAAGGAAGTTATGAACAACTGCAAGTCAGGAAGTGGAAATCCACACCGGTTGTGACAAGCTGGGGCTAAAAACTATTTCATTATTTATATAGATGTGTCTATCAACATTCTGCTTTTCATCCAAAGAATAAAGGGAAATACCGGCTAGTCCTATGTTTGACGGTGAATGACAGACCGCATCTGAGGAAAGGAAGGACTAAATATATCAGCTAAGAACACCACCGTTATTTATTGAACTCAAGAGACTTTTTTTAACCCAAAGACTGAGCAAGAGAATTAATGGGTCATTAAAAGGGGAAAAAAATTTTAAAGGCCCTTTTGCTTCTGAAGCGCAGCTAACCTCAAAAATAGGAGTAGTACTGGTAAGACAGATACTCAAATTAAGGCTTTACAAGATGAATTTTCTATCCTATGGATATCAGTTTTGAGACTACAAACCCAGAAGATCTGTAATTGATCTAGCACCAGATAATTTCAATGCCTAATATTCCCAAGGATTGCTGGAGTACCCTAGGAGCCGCGTCGGACTGTACTCGGGGTATGCCATGGGCTGTATTCAGAGTATTAGCTGCAAATCCAAAGTTTTCCGGGAAAGTATTTCAGTGATTGAAGTCAAAGCCTCCATCGATCCCATTCCCACCAGCATTGACGAGTCCTCCAGCGTGGTCCTGCGCTACCGGACCCCTCACTTCCGAGCCTCAGCGCAAGTGTTGGTGCCCCCTCTTCCCAAGAAGGAGACCTGGATTGTGGGCTGGATCCAGGCTTGCAGCCACATGGAATTTTACAATCACTACGGAGAACAGGGGATGTAAGTACTTCCAAGAGCGCGTGCGGGTGCGTTTGCCTAGCAGGAAGGAAGAGAGGGAGGGCCATGGCCTGGCTGGGGAATAGTGGATTATGCCCAAAAATTATAATCCCGATTTTAAAAACCAGCTCCTCTGAAACTTAACAGGACTTTCTTATATGTTTAAAGTACAGGAGAGCTTGTCCCTACCCTATTAAAGGAGTGGGTGTTCTTCTCTTCGAATGGGAATATACCTGCCCAAGCTCCAATCAAACCCTACTTATTCTGGTAGGAACCCAAAAGCAACACTATTTCACAACAGCTTTTGGGCAGCAGTGGAGATCCTGAAACCCCAGGGCAGCCCTACCACGGCAGGCACTCCTGTTTTGATACGTGTTTGACACGAGTGGTTCTCCCGACCACCAGCTCCTGTCACCTGCATCCCTCCCCATCCCAACACTGCGCATTGAGAAGCCCCAGGGAAAGCCGAGGGCTGACACTTGTGGCACAGAGCCGTCCCTGGCGTGCTGTGCTGCTGCTGCTGCTGCTGCAGAGAGCTGTGGCTGGGAGCTCAGTAGCCCACCACCTTTGGGAGCACATTTAACGTCACAGGAGGAATCCTGCTTGCTTTGCCCACGGTAGCAGGCAGCCCACGGGGAAAGCACAGGATGCATTTAACCCATTGATAATTAAACCCTCTGCATCACCTTGGAGCAGGGTGAAAATTTCACGTTACCCTCCTTATGGGTAATGCGCGAATGGGAATTTATAGGTGTATATGTGAGGTAGGGGGAATATAGGGGCTGTTTGCACACCAAAAAAAATCCCCGTGTTACTGGTCAGACAGTCATAGTGAGACAGGAATGAGTCAAATTAGAATGTCACCTCCCTGCTGAGAAAAGTCGTCTCTCCCCAGTCCCCCACCAGCTTGTTCTCCAAACATTGTTGCAGGCTTTGGCCCGCAATTAAGTCAGCCCCAGCACCTGATCCCTAAATGCCCGCACAGAGCAGCAATTCTGCAACTCACGGTGCCGGGCAGCACGAGGTGCAGCCTCCTGGTGCAGCAGAAATCTGTCCGTCCAGGCACGGGGACAGAACCCGAGCGCAGAGCGCGGCGCTGGCAGATGGGTCAGTGGCTGCGGGCGCTGATGCTGCCCGGCCTCTGGGGGAAAGGGAGGAAGGACGGGAAGGTCAGGTCCGAGCAACCCGCCCGCCTGCTCATCCCGAGTGCCCTGAGTCAGGGGGATGCCGGCTCAGCCCCTGCAGGGTCAGTCTGGGTGGCTTAAACATCACCGAATGAGGAGGGCTGAGGGAGGAGGGGAGCACGGAGGGCTGCAGAGCAGGGCAATCTCGGACTTAACGCAGCGCCTTCCTGATGGCCTGAACATCTGCACGCACACCCCGGCCCTCCTTCCCTCCCTGCTGCCAGTAAGCCCCGCCGAGGACACGGGTTCAGCATCTCAGCATCACGCGAATCAGGCGCTGTAAGATGTGGACCAGAGGGAAGGGCACGCCGAGGAGCAGCCGGAGGCGACAGGCTGCCCCCCTTCTGTCCCCACGTCCCCTCTCAGCTCAAGCAGAAAGTGCCTGGAGAAGCGAACTGGCACCTGGCAAACACCAGCAGTGCAGACCGGCTTATCTTGATTTTAAAAGTACTTACAGCAGGCCCGAAATCTGTAGGCTTTTTGGCTCCAACACCATCTTTAGCAAGGACAATTTGTTGCTCAGATGTTCCCAATTCCAGGCCTTTGGGATTTGCATGTGTAATTCTCAGGCTCATTTAGAAATCCTGTCTTTACTGACCAGCTGCAAAGGAAAACAGAGAAGTCCACTGTATATAAATACAGCTCAGATGCACCGAAATAAAAAAGATTGGGCAGTGATGTGCCAGTGCTGCTGTGGGCTGCAAACCTCAGCCTGGCCTTTTATTTCCCTGCACCTGAGTTTCTCTGTGTTTAAAATGAGGCTTTGGTACGGTCTGCCCTTGCTGGAATGCTTTGGGACAAAAAATAAAAGGGAGTATCTACCAGCTAAGTGCTGTAAACAGGTAGAATTAAAAACTGCAGCTATGTAGGAGAGCTATTAGCCAGAAAATCATGGAAACAAAGATTTTTCCCTAGGAGGTTCCTTGACATTTAACTGATACTAAAAAAGTTACCCGAACATAAGCAGGAATTGGTCTGCTCCTCCACTCTCCTTCTATAGACCCGTTGCCATCTGAAAGCTATAAATAAAGGCATTTGGGAGGAAAGGCCTCTTCCAATGCCATCAGAACATGCTCTTGGAAGACCTGTATAGAGAGAGAGACAGGACACAAACCTATGGGAAAGGATGGGCCAAGCCTTTAGCTGGTGTAACTCGATGTAATCCCACTGACCTCCACAGAGCTGCATCGATTTATGCCAACAGAGTATTTGTCCCAACTTTCCATGATGGAGAGAGGCTACTGCCACATGCATATTTTTAATCACTGTCGTGGCAGGCAAAGAGAAAACTCCAAATAATCAAAAATCAATTGGTCAAACAGAGCACCAATACTTACAGCAGGCTTTGGATTAATTTTTCACTTCTCTGCTGGGAAGTTGGTAGCTGTGCATAAGCTGGCCATTATATTGAGGATGGAAACAGCTGAGAAATACTGGAGCAGATGGAGCCGTGCATAATGCTGCTATAAGGATGGGAGCTACAGAGGGGATAATTTAGACACATGCGTTTAAAGTGGCACTGACAATTTTGGGGCTAAATGCAGCGTTTTTAGATGTAAAGGAAAAGAATTAAAGCTCAGATAACACATAAATGCTGGCATTGTTTTACTCAGTGTGACTCAGTAGATGCTGCTGGGTACATGAAAACCACCAGCATGAGGATGTGGATGTGCTCTCTCACCCTGCTCTATGCAGAACTGGGGCGAACTCCTGTTCACCCCTTGACTGCTGTTGCTGCTCCCCCCATGCAGGGTTTTACCCTGATCCTTAGGGAAGGTGCTGCTGTGCAGAGGGAAGGCATCAGGATCAGGCCAGAGCTCTGACCTGCAGCTCTGACCAGGTTCCTGCTGGCATCTCCTGGGGTGGGTGCTGGTTTCTGCACCTGGTGGGACCTGTGGCAGGGGCTGGGCCACGCTGGAATGGCATTATCAGCCCTGTTTCTCCATCTCCATGGAGATGTGCAAGAAGCGGTGCAGATGGGAGATATGCAAAAGAGAGAGAGAAATAAATTGGAGTTGGAATAATACAATCAGCCAAGAATCTGGAGAAGTTTCAGGGGGATGTTTCTCCCCTGGAGGACCGGATGGGGCACTTGCATCATTACATCATCACTTTGCCTTACAGGGCTTCTCTCTGGTGAGATTAAATCTTCCCTGCCCTGCAGCAGGGACACAATGAACTGGAGAAATCAACTTGTCAAGAGAATAAAACCCCAGTCCTCGGGAGGGAGGACACAGTCAAATTTCAGCAAAGGGAAAAAAGGGTATTCTTTCCATGGGAAGTGAAGGGAGGTCAGTTCACTGTGGGAATTCACCCCTCCAGGGGTTTAGAGGAAAAGGCTTTGCTGCCCTTGCACAGCCCAACTCTCACCTGTGCTGTGAGCACCCACCTTAGCTTAAATAGCTTGTCCAGTCAGACTTGAGTCTTCTCAGTCTGCTCAGCTAAACCAGCAGAAACTGATCCTTTTTTCCTAATGCCAGTTTTCTGCTAGTTTTACTCCCTGAACCAGCCATGCATCAAACATTGCTGCCAATTCAAGACACGAGGCAGGAACATGCAGCTGGAGGGTGGGGGGAAGAGGGACCACAGCAACACAGCTTTGTCAGCCAGGGAACAACATCTGAAATTTCCTTCCTGTTCTTCACTCTGACTCTGCCTTGACTTGCCTGACGTGCTGCAGTAGCTGAGAGAGGCACTGTAAAGCACAATTTAAAATTAAGCACCTCTGGCTGTCAGGCTTTCTTTCTTTTATGAGTCCCCAGCACAGGCCAGCGGTGGAGGGAGGCAGGTGGGAGCAGGGATGTGAAATACCTGAGACAGCGTTTCACTGCACCCACACATGGCCCTGGTACCTGCAGGAGCAGGGGCTGCATCCCAGCGGGGCTGCTCTTGTTTGAGGAGCTGCTGGAGAGGAAAGTACCAGAGAGCACAAGGTTATGCAAGTCCATCTGGCCTGTGACTAGTTAGGAGCTGGCTTTAAGGAACTGGAGCTGAGGATGCAATAGTGCCTGTCTGAAAAGGTTAACTGGATGTATCCACACTGCTGGATGCTCAGGGCTGGAGGCTGCTGTGCTGGGTTTGCTGTCACTGCCCAGGCCAGTGCAGTGATTGCCATGGTGGGTGCTGTGAGACAGATATCTGGGGGCTTGAGATGAGCTGGGGGCTTCATTCTGTGTGACAGAATAGGAAGAAAAGTGTCTGAAAGAGGACTAGGAGGCTTAAACCTACAGAAAGCTGCTTGGCTGTCAGCAGCAGGGCTCCGGTTCTGACACAAGAAATAGCTCAAAGTTCCTTCTGGTAGCAAGAAGACATTTGTTAAGAGAGGATTCTTGGCAGCTCCAGTCACTGATGATGCCCAAACTGACTCTGAAGGTTTCAGAAAAGGTTTAAAGCTTTTTTCAGAAACTAGCTTGTCAGTAGTACAAGCCAGAATCTACTGATTTTGGAGCTGATCAGCTATAGTGAACCCATGAAACCAGATAGCTTGGTTTCTTTTCATTCCTCTTCCCTGCTATTGTCAGCAAAGTGTTTACTGGGCACTTTCTGGTCTCTCCTTGGCTCGACACTACCAAAGAAAGATGCTGATGCAGCCAAAGATCATTCCACAGCATTCTTTCCAAAATCATCCAGTTGTTGGCATATTATTTAACATGGACACGCTCTGCAAGCAAAGGCTGCCAAGCCTGGCTGGCACACAGGCTCTGCTGTAGCACCAGGCGAGGGGCAACCACCGCCAGCAGCAACCACCGTGCAGCCTCTGCTCTGCTCCAGTCATGGGACCATCGTGAGGCCTCATTTTTCTCCCCATTCCAAGCTGTGCAGATAAAGCGTGATGGTTTTGAAACCCTGGGGTTAACCACACACCAGAATTAGGCACAGTGTGCTCCGTGAAGAAACACAGTTTCTCCTTCCCCATTCCTGCCCCCGCCTTTCCCTAAGCTGGGTGCCCACCTGGGCCACCCCAGCCAAGCCCTGCCATGCTGCTCACTTGGCTTTGTGCTGGGGTTCTGCAGGCTCTGCCTCCAGCATCCTGCCCAGGCCCTGACACAGCTCCACCTTTTTACTCTTGTGTAAACGCCAGGTAAATCCTAAGAAGGTCCTGCAATTCTGTACTGGGAATGAAGATGGGGAGAAGCAGATATTAGTGGACAGCATTTTCTGAGCATCCTCTACCTGATTTTCCCACCATTCACCCACCAACCTCTGACCCACGTAGGCTGGAGCAGCCCAGGAGGGTTATCAGCCTCTTGTAGCATCTCAGGTCCTGGTTTGGCCCCTCTGTACCTGCAGACATGCTGTGGTTGCACCTTAGCACTGTGCCTGTCACAGAGTCAACCTCCAGGACACTGTCACATCTCATCCCTGGGTGACAGCCAAGCTGAGTACCAGCCACGGTCTGAATGGAAAGTAATCCTAAACCAGCTGCTGAAAGGGAGAGAAAGAGCCCCCAGATGGGGTTTCGGAGCCGGGCTGTGCAGTGGGGAGGAGGTGGGGGGCAGAGCACGACCTCCACTCATCTGCCTGCGAGGGCTGGGTCATAGAGCGTCCCCAGAGCCTTCCCCTGCTCAGCCCTGCCTGCAGAGCGTGGGGGTGGTGAGCCAGGACGACTCTGCTTTGGAGAGCAGAGCATATCAACATCTCTGCAGTGGACAGGGGTCCTGGCAGCACTGCTCAGGGATCTCCTTTTGGCTGCCTTCACTAAAAATTTTCTTCCAGGGAAAGGACTCCCTCTGCCTGCTGGCGATGGGCTCTGGAGGAGAGGATTGCTGCAGCTGCGGTGCTGTAGCTGACAGCAGCCTGTAAATCTGTGCAGGGAGATGTTGTGCTTGCATAACCCCTGGTCCTGCGGCTCAGAGCAGCCCTGCAACCCCCAGTCCTGCTGCTCGGAGCGTCCCCTGGCCCTGCTGCTCGGAGCATCCCTGCATCCCTGCATCCCCCGGAGCACCCCACATCCTGCCTCGCACTTCCATCTCCCGGGTTCCTGCCAGGCATCCGCCTGCGTGGCACAGGGGAGGTGTTTGCTAGGACCCCCCGCTCGCATGGAAAAAAGATAAATGAGATCTTTAAATCCCCCACGGTATCCTCTAGCCAGAGCCAGACACAGCTCACTGTTGAACGATCCAGCAGCTGCAAACATGGAGGCAATTCACGGTCATTAACTAATTAACAATCAGAACAGCCTTGTGAGACGGTCACATCAGCCCTGCCCAGAGCAGCTCATCCCAAAGCTGTGCAAGAGCCGGCCAGGCTGACACGTACCCCCACCCACAGCCCCCACTGCAACCAAAGGGCTATTTTAAGCTGCAGCACCAGACTTATGAAAGGCTTGGACAGTCACCCTGACCCTGACGAGCCTCAGCGTGTCCCGTCTGTCCCTTCCCGGGATAAATCACGTCCCAGCCCGCAGCAGGGAGCCGCAGGACTTGGGGGGCTGGAGCACAGCCCAGAGTCCCAGCCCCAGAGCAGGGTCAGGTGCAAACACCACTTCTGCAGCCACCCAGCCCCTTCTGCCACCTCGGTGGCTGGGACACCACCCCTGGGTGGTGGGGAGGGCTCATTTGTGAGAAAGAGGGAAAAAGTACCTTAGAACCACCTCTGCCAGCCTGTTTTTGAAAAGAGTGTCCTTAAAACACCTGGTGTGCACTGAGCATGTGATCTGTGGTCGTGCTGTCTTAGTGCAAACGTATAACCCTTCTTCTGAGACGTTTACAGCAGTTTGCGCTTCTATTGGCAAATCTAATCTTAAAATTCAAATTGGAAGTTAATAAAAAACCCCACTCCAATTTGTGCATCAGCAGTTCAAGGTGACAGGGGACCATTTTCACTGACTTTCTTGTTAGAAAGACTGACCTTTCTGTTCCTCTCACGGATGACCAGCACAGGCAGTTTTACAAGCTGCTCGACCTCGGGGTCTCTGATTACTGTAACACCATCCCCAGTCGGGAGCCTGGTGTGCAGCCCTTGAGCTGGGTCCTTCCAAGGGCTGGAGAAGGATGGGTTACACTTCCAGCGCCAGGCAGACAGCAGGGAGGGACAGTGGCTCATCCAGAGAGAAATTTAGGGGAGGAACGGATCAAGAGCAGCCCTGCTGAGAAGGATGGTTTTAATGGCAGGGATGAGCTCCTGCAGCAGGATGGCACGAAGGGCACAGATTCCAGTAAAAGCTAAAAAGGGAATGCATCCACAACTTCTTCCTAAAGTCCAGCATGCTTCTAAAGTAATTAATTAATGCACTATCCATAATTTGTTGTTGATTACGGCAGGTCGAGTTGGGAGCTTCCCGATCTACTGGACGGTAAAATCCAGGCCATCAGTGACTCAGACGGGGTGAACTATCCCTGGTACGGAAACACGACAGAAACCTGCACCATCGTGGGTCCCACCAAGAAGGAGTCCAAGTTCAATATCAGCATGAACGACAACTTCTACCCGAGCGTGACGTGGGCCGTGCCCGTCAGCGAGAGCAACGTGGCCAAGCTCACGAGCATCCACCGGGATCAAAGCTTCACCACCTGGCTGGTGGCGACCAACACGGCCACCAACGAGATGGTGACCCTGCAGACTATCAAATGGCGCATGAGGCTGGGCATCGAGGTCAACCCCAGCAGGCCCCTGGGGCAGCGTGCCAAGCTGCAGGAGCCCTCTGCCCAAGAGCAGCCCCAGGTCCTTAGCAAGAATGAGCCAATACCACCCAGTGCCCTTGTCAAACCCAATGCCAATGATGCTCAGGTACTCATGTGGAGGCCAAAGGATGGACCACCACTCGTGGTGATACCTCCCAAACATCGGTAATACACACCTGGCGTCCCCGGCACCAAAAAGGGAGAACACAAAAACCTGAAGCAAAACAATCACTTAGGTATTAGGATACACATGTATAATCTGAGCAAAATCAAAATGCACTTTTTATTCATTCAACAAATGCAACCATTCTACCTTCTCCCATTGGGACGGATTTCACTGTGCTAAAGCTAAAGAGGAGACCTTTGGACTGGGTCTGTCTCATCACTGGATTTCTAAGGGAAGAAACTAACACTGATGTCTACCCTATAGCTTTTTTTTTTTCCTTCCCTACTTTAGTTCCTGTTTGAATTTCAGTCTCATTAGCTTGTCCAGACTGCCCAGAACAATAAGAACATTTTATTTGGGATTTTAAGAAATTATTTTATTTTCTTTTTGGTTGAGAACGAAACAAGTTCCTGGAGCAAAAAGTTGACTATTTAAGATAAGGGATTTTTTTTTTTTTTAAAAGCAGTAAGGTTCTGAGTTGCAAATCCAAGTCATGCGGCCTTATGTAGACTTTGCTTTGCATTGCCAAACTTTTGCCTTAAAGCTATGTTTGAAAAAAAAAAAACAAACAAACAAACAACAAAAACACCACCAGGCAGAATGTTCTTTCTACAGAATTTTGGAGAGAAAATTTTGAAGCCAGGAATAGATTGTCAGTGTGGCACGGGCTGATGGATGAAAAGGGCATGAAATTGGAAGAAGCGAGATAAAAAGAAAACCTTCCTGGTTTTAAAACCTGGAACAAGGAAGCACGGAAATAATCTCAGTTTCAAAGCAATGCAAATAACAAACCTGCTGTCAGCTGGCTCTGGAATGGGAGCTACCAGGCCATCTCCCTACTTTGCAGGAGGGGTAGGAAGCAGCTCACGCTGCTCACCCGTGGTGATCTCAGCCTCCCGTTAACATTTTAATATGGGATAACCTCACAGCTGGAATTGTGGCCCTGGGAGTCAATATCAGTCAAGGGGTGGATGTCCCACTGTGTTTGTCTTCAGGACACACAGATGTTTGCCCAACTAGCCCATAGTCTCCCTTTCTCATGGATAAGAGCCAAGGGCTTGTGCACTGGCTGTTGTTGGGTGAAGCTCTGTCGCCCCGTTTTCCCATGAAATTCCAATGACGGTGCTGTACAAAGAGCAGGATATAAAAAGCATCCTTCTGAAGTCATTGGAGACTCATGGGTGTCAGCGAGGGCAGATCTTATCTACCAAGCCTACCCAGCAATATCCATAATTCAGGAACAGCCACATCTGAAAACTAAAGGCACCCATTCCCAGCAAACACAGCAGAGACAGCTGTGGAAAACTCTTCCTCCTGTGATAACAAACCACATTGGGGTTAGTAGATAATTTTCTTCCCAGTGACCTCCCGACCTACCTGACTGTCAGGAATGGGGTACAGACAGGACCATGACACCATCCCTGTCTGGTCATGGCACAAACATCCACTGTAGCAAAGGGTGATGCACGAGAAGGTGCAGGCAGGGCAAGACCTGAGCCTTGGGTGTGGATCCTCAGTGAGGAAGGAGCATTTGGAGGAGGAGGTGGAACCTGTAGGGTTCAATAAGGACCAGATGGCTTCTGAGATAACCAGATGCACTTCTGCAGAGGAAGGTGGCACGGAGGAGCTGTTTGAATGGGAGGGACGTGGTTTGCAGGCAGAGGAAGTTCTGTGGTAAAGGTGGCATCTGGAAGCTGGGGCACAGGATGGGGAGCAGAGGATCTGCCCTGCTCCAGCACATGGCCCGAGGCAGACCACTTCCCTCTGCAGCTCCTTCCCCTAGAAAACATTTCTTCCTCATATTAACAACTTGCCTCAAGAGCTGAGACTGAGGAGAGCTCCGTGTGCCAGGTACAAGCCTGGCCCTGCTGAGCTGGTCTGAACAGGTCTCACAACCCCACACGTGCTGCTCAAAAGGCTCTCCCCTCAGAGAGGCACCAATTAGCTGCTATTCTCATCTTTATCTTCCACACAGGACATTACCAGCAAGAAATTCTCCTTCCTCACTTCTCCACAGCCACACCACCGACTTTGGCAGCAGGTTCAACGTCACCCCCTGCCCAGGGAACACGCACCCAAGATGTGTCCCCCACCAAGACAGCCTCCAAACAGCAAACAAGGATCCTGGGGCCCTGCAGCCATCCCCTCATCTCCAGGGGAGCCCACCCTCCTCCATCCACTGGCTTTCAGAGATGTTCAGCCCCAGAGCTACTCCCTTCCACGGGCAGATCTCTGAGGTGGGAAGTCCAGCATTACAAGCAGCTTGCAAATGACTGGACTGGATCAAACCCAAATCCATGAGCCAAAGGGTGCCTAGATCTAGGCTTTGGGACTATACAGGATGAAGCTAGAGAGACTTGGACTTGCACAGTCACTCTCTGTATTAAACTCCGTTTTCTTACCTGGATTCAGATCCAACTACATCTCTACTGGCACAGCCCTTTGGGACTTGTCTGTATTTTCTCCGAGGCAATACATGCAGAAGAGGACAAACTGTGAGCTGTGGGTGAATAGCTGATCACACTCACACGCATCTCAGCTGCCACTGAGGTGCTCTCCTGGGCAGTCCTGTGGGTGGGAGCAGAAGGGGGATTTGTGTTTGGTATTCACTTTGTCTCCAGGTGCTGAGTACTTACAGTTCTCACTGATGTCAGCGTGGGTCAAAGGAATCGGGCCCAGTTGTCTTAATTAGCTGCACGAAGGAATTCCAAGGAAAGATTTCTTCTCAGTCACCAAAAACCACATTCAGGGAACACCTCTGTCCTTTTCCACTTAGCTTTGTGTTGGACTTTAGTCTCCCAGTGCATTAAGTAAATCTGGTTCCTCCTATTCCCTCTACCTGGTGGACTGGATGCATCCATGCAATTTGGTAGAAACCTCTTGGCTAATTTGTCCTGTTGCACTGAACGGACCCAGCTAAGCAGTAAATACAAAATTCGAATTTCACGTTGGGGTCGGCTTTGCATGGACTCCTCCCTTCCCAAAGAATGCCTTTATCCCGTGCCTAGGTCAAAACGTGCCCCTCCACCTCCATTTGCATCACCAGACATGGCACAGAAAGTGATGCTGCCTCTTGGGATTTCATGCGTTGTGATTCAAAGTGATGTTTTCCCAGTGCTGCTTCGTTACAGAACTGATAGGGACAGATTGTCTATAAAAGGAAGGATGGCTGGAAGTAACAGGGCTCTAGACACCGCTGTTGCTCCAGCTGGTTAATGGCCGTGTGGTTAGAACAGGGATTGGCAGGGTCCCAGTGGGGACTTAAATATCTGGGGACCTGGGGCATCCTGCACTGAGCAAGGCGGTAAATGAGCAGAGGTAAATCAAGCTCCTTCTCTGGCAGCTTTTTGCAGAACAAGGAATACACAAAGGATACGCTGGGAAGGTGATGAGGCACCGACATGGGATACGGGTGTGTCTCTGCCTCACCCCTCCCATCAACGATGCTCAGCTCTTTACAGCCCCAAATCCCCACAGGAGCTGAGTGTGCAGCCTGACCATCCCTGTCAAAGCCCTGTCGTGGTGCAGGGTGGGAAGCAGGAGGGCTCAGACCATCCCCTGCACCCACTCCCCAGCCAGGGACAGGCAGGAGCTGCCGAGCCTGGCCAAGGTGCCGAGCAGCATCACAGACCTTGTGGTTCTCCTTTCCTACCCTAGACACCGAGATGAGCGTGGGAAGAGAGGGGCAGCCCCTCGGAGAGTCAGTCAAGACCCTCAGCAGCCTTGGGGAGGGGTAGAGACCTGTAGAGCCGGCGTGGCAGAGAGCAAGGGTGGGCCCAGCAGTGGGGGGAAGGTGAGGGCTGCCCAAGCCCCGGCACCGCCGTCCCTCCTGCCCTGGCTCCTGGCGCAGCAATAAGAATCGTCTTTGGTCTTGCAGAGATACTGTGAAAACAAAATCAAGATGTACCGAGTCTGGACACTTAACAGAGATGTAAAAAAAAAAAAACAAACCCAAAACCCTGCTTTTATAACAGACGGAGAAATAAAGTGAAGTTTTCAAACACGTCTGCCTGGAGTCGTTTGGGCGGTGGCTGTTTTTAAACAAATGGCTCTGTGCTCACGTTTCAAGGCAGCGATAAACACCCTGTTTACCAGGACTGCCTTCTCTCTCCATATCAACTCTTAGGCCACAGCAGACAAAGCTTTCTGGTGAAAAACACTGACATCCTGCATTTTTCATCACCAGGCTGCTGCACATCTTGGGGCAGCCAGAGCTGGGCTGGTTGGTGCAGGCAGTGGCTGAACTTCTGCACAGTTCAGTTTCCTGACCCTGTTTGCTTATTTAGCAAAAGCCAGGTCAGATGTTCACTGTAAATACCACATCTGGAGAGAGCACAGCCCTGGGCAAAGGAGAGAGTAAAAGCTGCTGCAGCCCATGATTGGTTTTCAAAGACCACCTGTATTCATTCCATTATTCATTGCTTCCCTCAAAATTATCACGTTTAGCTTTTCTTTGCTTTCCAGCAAAGGAAACTGCTGCCATGAATTCTGGAGAGCGGGGGTTGCCTGGTCAAGCAGCCAGCACAGCTCCACTGCTGATCCCTTAAATCCACCCTGGCACCTTCCAGCTCTGTCCTCCAGCCCCTCCTACCACAGCCCGATCCCACTGCGGGCTCCTGTCCCACCATCTGTGCCCAGGGAAGGGACACAGTTTCTCCTTTTTACATTTTACCCAGGGGCTGGACCCTCACCTGTGGGGACCCCCCCAGCAAGGTGCAGTTCACACAGGTGTCCCCCTTTGCTGCACCTCCCTGGGGTGAGTGAGAGCCTGTCCAGGCCCACTACACTCCTCAAAGGTTCCAGCCAACCCTACCAGAGCCAGGCAGCAGTGAGATGTGGCACCACCACCCAAACCCACCGAGGTGTGTGCCCACATAATCCATGGAGAGCCACAGAGTCCATTTGGGAAGCTCCACCAGCACATGGCAGTGACACAAACCCAAGTGCAGGAAGGGAAGGGAAGGAAGGAAACGTACTGAAGGAATGTGCATGGATGGAGCCTGAGCAGGGGAGAGGACGGGCTCTGAGTGGGATTCCTTTCCAGAGTGGAAACTGTCCAGCCTCATCTGTTGATAGCAGGTTAAATTTAGATGTTCCACTTTTGGAGGGAGGGAGAGGTGGGGAGGGGACACCAGCCAAGTCACAGCTGCTTTGGAAGACACCCTGAAAAAGCCAAAAGCACCCGGTCACTCCCTGTCTGCTCAGAGACTTGGGAACCCCCTCGCACGAGGGATGAGGAGGATGGAGGGAAGCACATGGGCTGGTGAGCCCAGCACAGCCTGGGGGGTGCTGGAGCCCTGTTCTGGTGCTTCAGGTGACACCAACACCAATCCTTGACTGCAGCACATCTGTGAATGCTGAGGCTACAAATTAAAGGTTTTGTCCCTTGGCTTTGTGATTTTCTAACCTCAGTTTTAAGCAGACTGAGGCGGCGGTTACTTCGTTTGAAGAAATACCCTCTGACCCCCACAGTTCCTGCTTGAAACTTTGCAGGGAAGTCCCTTTGCTGATGCAAATCAGGTTTTGTTTCCTATTTCTCCTCTCTCACATCTTAAGCTGCTCATGTGCAGCAGCTGCAAATGCTCATTTTACTCCTTCATGTTTTAAAGCAAAAATATTTTTAGCAATGCCCTGAAGAGCTTGAAGCATCCATTAAAAATAAAATAAAAATACAGTGTCATGAGTTGACACATGATTATAACAGAGCTCCTCAAACAACCTGCACTGAGATTCCCAGGGCTGCCTTTAGTAACCTTTGTAAATTGGTCCCTGAAAAGCTGTCTGTTGGGTACAGTCCTGGCAAAAAGGATTTTGTTAAGAGGGTGGTAAGGGACTGGCACAGGTTGCCCAGAGAAGCTGTGATGCCACATCCCTGGAAGTGCCCAAGGTCAGGGTGGACAGGGCTTGGAGCAACCTGGGCTAGTGGAAGGTGTCTCTGCCCGTGGCAAGGGAGTGGAACTGGATGAGCTTTAAGGTCCCTTCCAACCTAAACCAGTCCCTGATTCTGTGAGGAAACCCAAACATGGCAGAGCAGCACTGGAGAGCCAGGTCTGACTCTACCACGATTCGTTACTTTGGGGCTGTCCCACGTTTCCCCCAAGCTCTGCACCTGCAGCCTGAACTGGGAGCAACTCCAGCACCCTTCTCCAGGAGAGGGTGGTGTAAGGGGGGTCACGGGTCCCTTCCAGCACTGGGGTGGGTCTGTGAGGAGGCAGAGCTGCAGCCCCAGGCCAGAGCAGCACCACAGTCCCAGGAGTGGAGCCACAGCACTTGAGCTTATCTCGGGCACAGGGACCGGTCGGAGTCCCAGTCCAGGCACTGGTAGCACAGAGTGTGCCTGCATGAGATAAGGGCAGGCAGGGGGAAGTTCTGGCTCTGCAGCAAGGGACAGACACATGTTTGTAGAGAAGGAGCTTTGTGACCTTCTAGGAGCTGCAGAAAAAGGAGGGGGGGATGGTGCAAGACAGGGAACCTGCTGAGCACAACCACAGGGCCTTTGGGGGGGGTGGATCCCACAGACACACATAGGTGTGCAGAGCTGAAAAACGTGTGGACACATCCAAACTCAGCCCTGGGTGAGGAAGAGTCATAGAATCACTAAGTTGGAAAAGACCTCGAAGATCATTGAGTCCAACCTTTGGCCAAACACCCCCCTGTGAACTAAACCAGAGCACTGAGTGCCTGTTCCCCGTGGCTGCAGGACCCCGGAGCCTCGTTGCTGCAAGAGGGAGGACAGGGATGGACTCACTGCTGACCCAGAGCTGCTCATCCCTGTGAGCCACAGCCACCTCTTCCCAGCCCCTGGGGCTCCACACGACATTTATCTAGGAACAAAAACTCCCCTGGCACTCCCAGACACACTCATGCCAAAGCCTCATGCAGGATTATTTTTCCTTGTAAGCAATGCTGGAAGCAAAGCACAGGGGACACATGAAAACTAAGAAGGGATAAATAAAATGTGACTTCAGCCTCCGAGCCTGCAGTGTAGGGACACGTCCATGGCTGACAGGGAGAAGGGAGGCAATTCCACACCAAACTGCTGGAAAGGACAGAGACCAGCGTCCCTGGTTCCTGGGCAAAGGGGTGGCAGGAGAGGCAGAGCCACAACCTGCCTTCAGCTTTCCATGGCCTCTGGAGCAAGGGGCTGAGATGTCCTACAGCACTTTTCCAACCTCCCTGGTCTGTCACAGGGATCTTACTCATCCCTGACACTCACCCCACATGTGAACACGCCACAGCAGCCACTGTTGAGGCTGAGAAGCCCATCCTGAGCAGGGTGATCATGTCAGGAACACATCTGGTTTCTCTCTCCCATGGAACTCACCAGGATTTTGGTCAGAGACACACCAGCTCTGCCCCCAGCACTGCTCAGTCAGGAAGGTGGCTGCGAGGGACAAGGCAAGCCCAGGGATACAGCCCAGCAGCACAGGATGAACTTCAGCCCTGTGATCCCTTCTCAGTCTGACAGCAGTGGGATGCCACTGGCATTTGTCCTCCAGTCTCCTCTGCATCACAGCACTGTGGCACAGAAGGGCCAAAGGAACGATGTCCTTCCCTTCCCAGGAGACAGAGCCAGATACAGCCAGGACCACTGGTACTCTGCAAGACACCCACATTCTGGAACACCAAGCATTATACAGTAAAAACCTTTAAAACATGAGATTAAATATTTTTCTCCTACCTCTCTGTGACAAAGGTACGCTTTCTTTGCTCCTTTTCCAGGAAAAGGCTCTTTTCTTTGTTGCTCTTTTAACCTTGGAGGAAGCAGAAATCCCTGGTCTGGTCTCCCCATGGGTTTGGGGAATCCTCTCTGTGCCTCAGGCTCCCCTCTGCCCACCAGTGTGACACTATCCCTGGTGCTCTGCCATAGCAGCATCACCAGCACTCGGCTCTCCGCTGCCTCGAGGCCACGGCGTGGTCTCAGGGGAGGGGAAAATAAGTGTGTTCTTTCCTTAGGAATAATTAAGACTCCACCTTTGATAAAAGCCTGGGAAGATTTCTGCTCATAGTGAAGTGGCAGGAAAAGAGGGGCACAACCACCTTAGCACAGACAAAGGGATAAGCTCCTTCAGAGCAGTGGTGGAGCAAGTGCTGTTAGTTATCAGAGGATTAACCAACATGGACAAACTACTGGAACGAAACTCCAAGCCTGGTTAGTCCTTGACTTCTTCTCCAAGACTGCCAAGACTGGGGCTTTCTACATTAGCAGCTTTGCTCTTTGGTGGACATCTGTCCCAAAAGAGGGGGGGACAGAGGCCCCATGACCACAGGCCACTCAGCACAGATGTGACACAGCCCGTGACAGCTTCTGGCAACCACCAAACGAGCACCACGAGCACTTGCCAAGTCCTTGAGTCATCTAATGAAAATGCAGATTTTTCAAAGTCGACTTTGCTGGGGTTTGTGCATATTCCTGTAGGCTTGTGGTCACGATCAGCCTCTGCACTGCTCAGCTCCTCCAGCAGCTACTATGGAAACCGGGAGCAGCACCCGAATCTCAAGGGCAGATAGTTCAGAGGGTTGGGTTGTTTCAACCATTATTTGGGAAGCATTGCAAGAAAATGGGTCTGGAGTCATTCTAAAGGCACTTCACTTGCCAGGAGTTAAAACAGGTACCAAGCAGCAGAGCAGGGACAACCCCCAACTGCTCCCATCATTCCAAAAAAGAAACTTTAAATGGCTCAGCATGCCAACATCACATTCTTACCAAGCCAATCTTCTCCATAGCAAGAGGTTTCTGAGCTATCTGGGGGAGCACAGCTGATATGGCCTGGAGAGGAGGTGTCACATGCCACAGCCAGGGGAGATTAATGCAAAGAATTTAAGGTCAATGGTTTGGGCCAGCTGCTATTTATAAAGAGGAAGGAAAGCAGAACAAGAGTTTCACCTCTAGGCCTTAAGAAATGTTGTCTAGTCAAGGAGAACACACCGGGAGGGGCACACTTCAATCCAGCTTCAGCTTTTCTTCACCTCCAACCAGCAAAGTT